TCTAGTTAGTGATCGGAAATCACTAAGTTGAAGTGATCGGGTATCACTAAGTTAGCTACTAACTTGATCAATTCATCGGAAATGGTTGATCGAAGTTGATTGGAAATGACTAAGTATGGATTCTAAGTCATTCGACCTGAAATCTGGTTTGCAAATGGGTAATTTGTTAAGTGAGTTGTTAAGACTTAAGGAGCTACCGAGCAAAGTTCAAGGTTGAAGCTAAGCCGGTTCTCGAAAAGAGTTTTGTGAGAAGGTTCACTTGTAGTGATGGATCACGCTAGTCTTGGAAGGACTTCTGAGCGGTGAACCACTATGAAAGAGCTGCTGTGGAATGACTTGGAAAAAGTTAAGTTTAGAACAAACTTCACCGGAAGTAATTTATTATTAGTATTCATGAAAGTATGGATAAGGCAATGGATTGCTGGAATTTACCCGGGGAAACGTTTGAGGTTGATCTAGTTTGCTTAAGTGTTTTTAGCAAGCGATAAAGTTCTCGGCAATGGACTGTCGGGATTGGTAAGATTTGGTAAGAATGTGTAGACGGGAAATCTAACATTCTAAAGTTGTAATGGACGAGTAATTGCGGCAAAGGAAATGGAATTCCTTAGTGATCTCGTCAAGGCAAAGCAGTTGGCGGAACATGAAGTGGGGGAGACTTCACAAGAACTTTGTTGGTGGCCGAGTGTCAAGATAGCAATCTTACATTGTCGGATGATCTGGATTGAGTCTGGTTTGTTCAAGTATTCAGGATTTCATTAACGGTAATGAAAGTTCCAAGGTTGGAAAATCTTGAAGTGTACCGTCCGGGGCGGGAAAGCAGAATGGATGGTTGCTAAAGGTTCTGGAAGAATCGGGTCGGAGAGTAAGATAGCGATTAAGCTAAGAATGATTGGCTAATAAAGTCATATCATTAATATCAGGTAATCGGTGGTTAGTGTATTGAACTTCAGCGGGATTGATGGTGTGATGATGGGAGTTTGAGGCCGGTTCTGTTGGCGACGTTAGGAACCATGTGGGTTTGCTAAGTCGTTTTATGTTATGTCACTCTGTCGGGGTGATTGATTCATTTTACTCAGGAATCAGAATTGGATAACACGCTTGGAAGCATGGATGCTTGCTAAGGGTTGTCTTGTTTTGAGTTGCCTAGTAACTTTGGATAATCATGCTCGGCGAGTTCTGTGATCGCGTACTTGGGAATTCATTGAGTTCGCTAAGACGATCTTGTTTGGCCAAGATGAACTGCCCATAGTATCAACCATAATACGCTCGGAGTGATGGTTATGAATCTGATGCATCGTCTACGGGAACTTTGAGGGTTTGCCGAGACATGTATGTTTGATCGTCGGTGGGAACATAGAGTGTTCGCCGAGATGTGTCTGTTATGTTGTCAACGGAAACATGGAGTGTTTGCCGAGATCTGTCTGTTGTATTATATGCGGAAACTTGAAGAGTTCGCCAAAAATGTGTTTGTTGTGTTGTCTACGGAAACTTGGAAAGTTTGCCGAGACATGTCGGTTATATTGGTATCGGGTATTTTGTGAGATTGCCGAGCCATGTCTGATGTTTGTCTGTGAGGACTTAGAGAGTCTGTTTAGATTTATCTGTCCGGTGGGAACGAGTGGTGTTCACCATTGGAATTTTGTTAGGAAGACTTTGGGAATAAGTGAGTTCGCCGAAGCGTGTGTGTGAAAAGTTTTGCGAAGACTCGTTCTACCAAGGTGTTTTGTTCATTGTTGGTAGAAACTTGTTGGTCAATTTCTGTGGAATTGGTATAGTCTGTGGGGACCGAGATATGTTCGCCAAAGTATGGTAAATGTTCCGATATGGGTTCAGAAAATGATCGGGAATGATCTGAATGTTCTGATAGTATCAAGGATGATATGTAAGTGCCATGATGATCTTAAGTGATCTAAGGATATTCTGAGAATCAAGAACGATTCATGAGTTCTGTGGGATCCGGGTGATCTCAAACAATGAGTAAAGGTTGGAAGAATCCGAGAAATTTCTGTAAAGTCCATGGGAATAAAGGTGATTCCAGGAAAAATCTGTATACGTCAAGGGAGTAGTGGAAATACTCGGAAGTTCTTGAAGTCTTCTGTGAAAACTATAACTTGGTGGAAACCGAGATAATAGTTATGTTTCTGAGCGATTGGAGATGGTCAAATTTTGGGGTCGGATAAGTTATGTTGAGCATTCGTACTTAAGAGATGGTTGAGGTGAAACGGGTGAGGTGCTTCGAGACTTTGTGTGTCTAAGGCATAATCGTGAACCAATAGACTCTTTGGAGAGTAGAATGGCTTAACTAATTAGGAAAAAGGAAATTCCAAATGTGGTTAATCGGTGTTCGATCATGGTTTGGTTGGAACAAGAATTCGGTTTCTGAGTTAGTGTTCAGAATGTGTGTTTGGGCAACGGAAGTGTCGTGCATAGGTATTACCGAGGAATGATGGTCGGACAGGAAGTGGTCGAGGGCTTTCTGTTATATGTCCGGGTAAGATAAGTCCGATGTCAGAATCAAGTCTTTGGAAGATTGTGATCGGAAATGATGGGTTAGGTTGAAGAGACTAATGCCAAACTTGTGAGTGGAGTTGTAGAGAACTGAGGTAAGTCAGAAAAGCTATTGGAATGAAGTGTCATTGTTGGTGCTTGCTTGATTACCGAGATTTCTGCTCCTAAGTGTTGTTGAAAAGAGTTTAAAGATTGGAATGAGATTCCAATAACCACCGAATTCGAGGAAGAATTCATTCTAAGTGGGGGAGAATTGTAGCATCCGTGTCCGGGTATTCTAGTCGAGCTTGTGATCGAGGATTGAGATCAATGCTCGAAGGATTATCGAAGGAAAAGCTATGGATTGAAGGTTTATCGATAGTGATCGATATTCAGCGATGGAAATCAAGTGTACCGAGAAAATCTATGTAAGCTGAAGAGTTTATCGAGTGTTCCGTGTTTTTCGGAGAAAACTGACGGTTACTCGGTCCGAGCGTGATTTTCGGACAAGGGTGGTCGGTAGCCGACAGGTCTGGTCGAGAATCCGACAAGCTTGGTCGAGCAATTATCGATGTCCGAGATGATGCGTGTGAATTGTTCGAGAGAATTGGCGGGAACGGTTACTTTCTTGAGAAAACACGCGGATCTGAGTTAAGTGGCAGTTACTTGACGGTTTCTGAAGGAAGAATCGATTAAAAAGGAAGTTACTCGATCTTCTTCGTCACTTATGCGTTATTAGGGAGAGAGAGCTCGTAAAAAGGGAGGAATGGCGAGAATTCTTCGAGGAAGGTTGAGAGATATCGATGATTAAGAGATTATCGGTTATTCTGGGTTAAATGTGGAGGAGGATCTGTTGTCGATGGTCTGGATGGCGAAGTTGGATCGAGAGACATCGAGAGAAAGGTGATCATCGTCGAGGATGAAGATTCATTGGAGATTCTCATCGATAAACGAGTAGTTTATCGAGAATGCGGTTCTAGGGTCGACTAGGGTCGATGGAAGTTAAGTATGAAGATCGGATCTGGGTTATATCGAGCGAACGAGCAGTTATAGTCGATATCAGATGGTTTATCGTCGAGAAATAGCGTTAAGTATCGAGGATACGAAGAGAGTTCGAGTTCTGAAAGGAAATCTGTCGAGATAAGTCAGTTATGTCGATAGAAGTGCTATGTTACCGAGATCTGTTTAGCGGTTACTTATAATTGTCAGTATGATCGGCAGTTATCGAGATCGAGTGAGTTGATCGAGATTCTGGGTCGAATGAGTAGTTCTGTCGAGAGACTCGATCGGTGGTCGAGAGTTTGCGGTTCGATGATCCGAGAAGATCATGTCCGGATGTTCTGTTGGTCGAGGAGGGTCGATCATGTGTGTCTGTTGATCGAGAGATCAAAGGTTATGTTCGGAGTGGTGTTGATCTGATTAAGTGTTCTGTAAGTATGTTCGGTGTGATGTTGATTCCGGACATCTCTCTTTGTACTTAGTCATGTGGGGATGGTTGGCTGAGTGACTATGTACCGAGAGAGATGTTGGATGACTCATCGATGGCCGAGCGGTTATGGAAGCTGTTTCGGAAGCTGGAGCATTGGAGTATCGAGAAGACTCGTGGATTCGTGTGCATTGGTCGGACGAGTTGGTGCGATAAGTGGCCAAGGTACGATTAAGTTAAGCTTAATTATGTTTGTTGTTGATTTTAATCCGCTGCGTAGGTCGTTCTAGTTAAGTTGTTAGCTGGAATCGGTTTGTTTTGAGAAGTTTTGTGGAAGTTGAATCGTCGTCGGAAGTTTATCGGAATTTTAGTCTCCGGCGAGGTAGAATTTCTGTGTGTTCTGTGGTCGGGGTCCTAGTAGCGAGGACGGGGTATTATAATATCCCTGATTTGCTCTAGATTGCATAATATAGGGTTCCAACAGGGTTGCTTGAGAATCAGAAGCACAACCTAGGGGACTCGCCGGAACATCCTGCCGAGAAGGAATAGAATCTTTCTTATGCAAAGGACGAGGTTCTTCTCCATCGCCAATAAAAAGAACGGATATGTCCCCTTGCTGGGATGAAACACGATTTTCCTTTGCCTTTCAGGTCACAAGGATTAGGCTACTGGAGAGAGAGATCTTGCTGGTTAGCAGACTTGGAGCCATCCCTTTTATGGGGTAATTGGTAAGGAGCATCCTGATGAGGCTTGTCCTTCTTCACACTCCGTTAGATGGAGGGTTTCGGTGGCCTGAAAAGTTTGTGGAACGGCTTGCATGATGACCACGAGAGGCTCTATTAGCACCAGTGGAGTGAGAGACTAGGGAGAAGAAGCTAGATTCCCGGAAAGGAGATTTAAGGGTTTTTTCCATTTTCTAAAACTTTTGGTAAAGCACTCTCTATTCCTTGTCCAAGAGGGGACATGCTTCCGGTTCATGGCAGATGCGACGACAGTAGAGGCAACATCGGTGGAGTTTTTCATAAAGCAGAGAAATTGACATTGTTTCACCATAAGGGATTTAGGCATGTTTCTGAAAAATTAGAGGTTAATTTACTTTTACAATGACCTGAATTCTTCCTTTGGTAGTGTCCACAGCTCGGACAGTACCAATAGTATCTCCAAAATCTATCAGCGACTCATCAACCCAGAATTCAGAGGGAATCCCATCAATGCGAATCCAGAAAGTCAGGGAGTAAGGAAACAAAGTTATGATGTGTGATTGCCATGTTTTTGAGTCACCGTGAGGAACGCAACGAACATGGCCTTGAAGAGTCCAAATATGCTCATTTGGGAGGGTTGCGACCAATGCTGCCATACTTCTACCACCCCAATGAAACATCCTACCAGCAAGGCTGAGATTCAGGCCAGCTACAATTGCAGAGTTATCAACTGGTGGAAGGACCACCACCGCATCGTCTTCATCTTCAAGGACAGGAAGAGGGGCGGACAAAGGAGGAGGCGATGCTCTGTACCAGCTAGGACGAGACCTGTGAGACATGATGATGGTCAGGAGGAAGGATTGCACATAAGAGGCGTATAAGGATTGATAGGCATAGAAGGCTACAGTGAAGGAGCTCTAGGAAGCAGAGATTGTAGGGTAGAGAACTGATATTAAAAGGCAAAGACGTCTGAGGTTGAAAGTAATCTTTTCAAAGCTCAGAGAGCTGAAATGGGAAAGAGTTAAATCTCATAACGCCACCGTGGGGAACAATGGGAAATCCAGGAAAGGAAAGACGTGCAAACATCACAAAATCCTTTGGATACAGAGGAGATGCGTAAGATGAAACGCAAAAGAGAGCAAAGAAAGAACCATCAGAGGAGGGGGGGAGGACCTCTAGGTTCGGCAAAGAAGGCAAAAACTTGCCTAAAATGGATGCAAAAAGAGGTCAAGATCTACTATTTTCAAATCACTTTTCTTCATTTAGGTATCTTGGGAAAGGTGTCCGAGAGCGTTTTGGTTATTGACCGCCATTCCTCAAAATATGCAAGCATTTGCAAGGTACGATAAAATAAATTGCTATTTAATTCTAATAATATTCGTTGTAGCAGATCTACAAGAAAACCTGCATTTTGGGACTAAACGTTGTGACGCTTATCTTCGTCGCAAATATAAGCGACCGTTTTGCAACTTATCTGAGACACTTTACCGACTACACAAACAATAGAAGCAAAATCATCGCCAACTTGGGACGACAGCAATTAGTCGGTAACGCATCTCTTATATACGACGATTAACCGACGATGGTGTAACAAATCTATACGGTCACAAAATAGTAGCAATTTGAGACTAGTAAGTAACTAGACTTGAAGTAAGAACGAGGAGTAGCAAATTCGCGTCTTATTTGTAACAATATTTTGGTCACAAAATTGTTTATATTTTTGTTATAATACTCAAGATTAAGATTATTTTTATTTGTGTTATATGCATAGAAATGTTCAGAAGATCCAAATCAATTTAAAGTGTTACATGTTATTTTATAAGAAGGTTTGTAAATTTGTGAAAATTTCATTAAAAACCTACTAAAACAATGTTTGAGACTCTTAAACTGTTACAATATACTCTAGAATAACATCATAAGTTCTTATAAGTGCTTGGGTTCATCAGTTTGGATCAAAATGTATAAAATTCAAAATTTTGCTTTGTGACTAAGAGAAAACTGTCACAAAACCGAAACGATTTGCGATGAATGTGTAACAAATTTTGCGACTAACACCTGAATTAGATACTAACTTGCGACCGTTTATCAACGCTCGACGGTCACAAAACCATAGGAAGATTGTAAACATGCTTGTGTTTACGTATTTACGTTGATATGATCAGAATCAATCACAAAAACATTTTAAAAACTTAAACTGTTAGAATATACTCTAGGTTACCATCTTAAGTTCTTATTAGTGCTTGGATAAATCAGTTTTGATCAAAATGTGTAGAATTCAAAATTTTGCTTTGTAACGAAGAAAGAACTGTCACAAAACCGTAGCAGTTTGGAACGAATCTGTAACGCATTTTGCGACTAACACCTGAATTAGATACTAACTTGCGACCGTTTACCAACGCTCGACGATCACAAAACCATAAGAGGATTTTAAACATGCTTGAGACTAAATCTATAGAATCACAAAAGAGTCACTGTTTGAGACTAAATATATAGAATGTTACAAATCAATCACAAATTACCCACGTACATGCTACATATTAGGAACTTAAACCCAAAAGTGACGATTTTGCTTCTTTTTAGTCACAAAACTGTGGCAATCCAAAATAAAATGATTAGATTACTTATCATAATTGTAGGTTTATTTCTATTTTTAATGAAATGATTAATAACATTTTGTACATCCAAAATTTAAATTCTAAGACAGTAAAAATTAAGCCTTAATTTGATTATTTAAAAATCTAAAATTTATAATCAAATGAATATATAATACTATTGTATACATCAAAAACTTAAATTCTAAAAAAAATAATTTAAGCCTAAATTTGATTAGTTTAAAATGTAAATCTAATATAATCAGTTTCAAATCCTAAAATCCCAATTCCTAAAATGAGTAAAAATAATAAAATCGAGAAGTGTTAGGTTTGTTTCCTTTCTTTTAATCAAAATGAAATAATAATATTGTTTATAAAGATTATCTAAGTTTTATTGAGTTAAAAATTGTGAAGCTTCTCATTGGCTGATTCATGAAGACAAGGATAGCAGTGTTATTTGAATATCCGAGGTTGATAGATTAGATCTAACGGACAAAATCATCTCCTTCCAATTCTCCTCTTCTCTTCTTCGTCTTCCTCAACGAAACATGAAGACAAAGACTCACCTATTCATCTCAACGATTCTTCTTCTCCTTCTTCTTTTTTTTTTCTTCTCCTACTCAACAAGTCTTCTCTCACCTTGTTACCGAGATTATTAAACTTCCGCTAACGACATCTCACATATGTTCGTTCACCATATCTGACCTTCGGCCGTTCACCACCACTGCATCTTGAAGCTTCCGACCACCAGATCTTGAAGCTTCGGCTGTTGTTCATCACCAACAGATCTCGAAGCTTATGCCTTTCCCCACCACCACATCAACAAACACAAAGCTTCTGTTCACCTCGATCCTCAAACTCGCTGTCGACTATGCTTTTCACTATATTGAATTCCATTTATGTATTTTATTTATTTTTATTAGTTAATCTGATAAAAGAATTATTTTTTAATTTCATGATTTTTTTGAAATAAAAATTTTGATTTATAATCTAAATCATGAAACTAAAATCATGATATTTTGTGTTTACTGTTTGTAATCAATTTAAGAAATAAATAAAATTACTTTTAATTTAATTATTTTTGACTAATTAAAAAAACCATGTATTTTTTTTTTTTTTGTGGTTTGTCCGTAAAGTCCTAAACTAGCAACTGTTTTGTGACCACTTTAATTTGCGACAAAAAATATACGACCATGTATATTAGTTTCAAAACAGTCGCTAATATACAACGTTATTGTGACCATTATCTCAAAAGATACGACTGTTATTATATGTCTCTAAATCGTCGCTTTTATGCGACCATATATATTAGTTTCAAAAGAGTCGCATATCTGCGACGTAATTGTGACTAGTATATTTTTCGACCGTTTTTAGCGACCAACTTAAATAGTCTCGCAATGGTCGCAAATAGTCATTTCAGGACCGTTTTAGGACTCTTGTTTTCTTGTAGTAGTGGATTAGCAATATCGTAAAATAATAAGGCTAATTATCCAGCTATGATAATCTGTTTAACATGATAATAATATATTTATCGGGGTTAACTGTTTATCTGATGATGGTTTGCACAAAATGTATTATCGCGACAATTACATGATAAAATTTTGATTGTAGTTTTCGATTGTTGTTGCTAACATTATGTTTACTATATAACTAGTAGGGGTCTACGAAAATAATATGGAAATAATAAAATATTTGGCAAGATAAAACCAAATTAGTCTGATAATAAGCTGCTTTTGTAGGTATATCTGATGGCGTCTGATGTGGCTTGCGTAGTGCATCTGAAAAAGGAATATATTGGCAATATTCAATTCTGAGCAACTAAGCTGTTTGGTTTCAAGCGCAGTAAGAGAGTACTGGTTGAGCGATTTCAACAAGCTGTTTGCAGAGATACGAGCAATGAACGGGACATGCGGATTATCTGACCAAGATTGGATTTGAGCATTGGACCAAGTACAATGTTATGACTAGTAACATCGCTGAAACAGCTGAATAATGTACTTACAATGGCTTGTGACTACCCTGTCATCTCCATCCTAGAAACAATTCGGGCAATCCTGGTCACGTGGTTTTCTTTAAGAAGGGAGGCAGCGAGGAAACCATACTGTCCCCCCCCCCCAACCCCCAAAGTCAATGAGATGGTCCTCAAAAATTATGAGAAAGGTATGAGTTTCCTAGTGGTTAAGAGTGCTGGCGGTCAGTATGAGGTTCGGGATGATGAAGACTTGACTTTCTCGGTTCAGCTTTGGGAATGTACATGCGCCTGCCGTGAATTCCATCTCCTAACAATTTCTTACTCACATGCGATCGCAACAGCTATAAATGATGGAGTTCAGGTAGACACTTTAGTTCTTCATTTTAGGTTTGCTTATAAGGAGATGATCATGCAAGTCCCCAACATGTCTGCTTTGGCCCCATCACCGAACGATGTAGGCGGTGCAAAATTGGCACCGCCGTATGTGAAAAGACCGCCAAGACGCCCTAGGAAAAGATGCATATTCTCAAGGGGAGAGTTTAAGGTGAACAAAAAATCTTGCAATAGCTTTAGTATCCAATATTCTAAACTTATACTGAGAACTAACAAGTAGGAATCATGTTGATCACATATAACATTAAGAAGACAATGCAGTAGGTATTGTTCACTAGGTTACAACCGTGCAACGGGGGAAATGTAAGTATCTGGTTGATTTTTGTAATTTTAAATTTATTACACTATGGATGTCATATTTAAAATTCTGTTTGCCCAGGGTCCATAATCAATGAGGAGAAGAGGACTCGGTGGGATGTTTTTAGGCATGTACATCAGGCGAAGTCAAGCTATCAATTGTGAAATAAATAGTTATGCAGAAGAAGATGGTAGCAGTAGTTTTACGTTGTTTATATATCAAATCTATTGCTAGGTTATTGTAGAATAATTGATGTATCGGATCCGAATAGGGAAAACTCTAAAATCGGTGTTTACCTAAGCAATGTTCTGTTTGAGAACACTGTTTAGCTAAACAATGTGTTTTTGGTTATTGTATGGGAAGTTTAGCTTTGTTGTCTATCTTTATGTATGTATACTATCGATAATCAAACGAGTTGCTAGTAAAAAAAACAAAATGGACAGTAAAGTAACACGAAAATGATATGGAGATAATTACGTACATAAGAAACCTAACAAGACAATAAATTACCAAAACGTAATATACATATATATATATATATTTTTCAGGTAACTAAAGATCGTTTAGACGATATCTTGTTATCAAGTAACAATTGTTTTATATGATAGGATAAAATAACAATTACAATTACAATAATATATATGCATTGTTATCGGGTATCTAAAAGTTGTTTTAACGATATATTGTTATCAAGTAACTTTAATCAACCGATAATAATTGTTTTATACGATAAGATAAAATTACAATAAAATTTATGCACCAAACACATTAACTTATTGAATTATAAGACCTTGCATTAACTTAAATGTTACATGCCAAACGCAGAATCAGGACAATTAGTTGAGTATCATGTTTAGTCTTTTGTTAAATTACTAAAAACAAACGGTTAAAGTTACTAGGAAACAAACATATAATTTATCTATTTAGTTAGGTTGATATCGGATTTGTTGCAAAAAAAAGGCTACTTTGGAGGCAAATACATTAAAAGGAGAGAGAGTAAATAAAATATGACTAAGAGTAATTTTTGCTTCTCCAAAGCATATAGAATTTTTAGAATTACGATTATCAATTTTTCTCGATAATGCACTAACACGATCAAAATAGGGTTAGACTATAAGCTAAAGATAACAATAACATTTATGCTAAAATTAGTAGAAGAGTCAAATAGAGTAGACACCATATCAAAAACTATTGTCTTGTATAAAGTTAATAGTTATATGATTCATTATGGAGTTAATTGGTTTAGTATCGCATTCAATCATATGTTATCTTAATAAAAATATACAGCGTAAATTAAGGGAAAAACATATCTCTTTATATAGATAATGTACTTAAACGACAAAATTCAGGTTAGACAATATGCATATTTTCCTAAAAACATTTACGCACAAATCAAAATGAAGAGGCGAATACGACAACATACTACATATTGTCTTGCGTTAAATTAAAATTAAAATAGTAAATTTGGTATCAGGATAATTAGATGAGTATCGCGTTCAAACAGTTTTTATCGTATTAAAAATACACAGTACTCAGCGATATGAGAAACACACATAATGATTTATAAAAGAAAGGCATAAAACTTAACTATAGCTGATAAAACAAAGGTTATCAAACAATGCTAGTATATACCGAGAACACAAATAAATTACGGATAATAGTACAGCAATTTAGTCGATGATATAGACCAACTGAAATGCATCCATCAATAAAATATTAGTTCCACTTACATATAAAACATATAATAATCCTATTACTTGTTCAACCTACAACTTAACAAGATAACATTTTTAGAAGATTCCTACTCAACTCCGCCAAGAATGATTGTAAATATAAATTTTTTGATATCCGATTCAAGGTTCCCAGCGTCAACTTCATCGCGTTCATCGAGCCCTCTGGTAACATTGACGTTTATTAAAAAGATTGCCATAATGCCATAATCAGTAGGAGATTTTACCTGGGATATGCATGGCTCCGTGTAGAAATCTGTGTTTTTCTGAGGCAGACCTGCCAGTTAAGTAGAAATGGTAGCATCACAACGATGGGTTGAAGTTCCCGGCATATGATGTTATCGTTACGGAGTTGCGCATTACAATCAAGGACAGTGATAGTAGCATTCAGAAGATCAATGCACAATGAAACCCTATGTTTTTTGTTATCAAAATTAAATGGGACATAGAGAAGATCAGTTTCAGTGAAAATTTCGGCACACCCGCTTTGATCAGCACCAAACAGAATCCCCACGGTATCTTCCTGAAATTTAAACTCCTACGGAACATGACATTTGGAAAACTTGGGGAATAGCCGAAACATAACATTTTTTATATACATGAAATTTGAACTCTTACGGAACACATGCCATTTTGTGATATACATTAACCCTCTCTCCCAAGAGTTCCTCTCCGCAGGTGATTGGGAAGATCCAGATCTGTCATCTGTTTGACAGAAAGTAAAACCCTATCAAAATCGGTAAACTAACTAAGGAATCAACCTAAAAACTTGAAATTTGATAGAAACTAATTTTCCGTCTATAAACGCGAGATTACAAAAGGAGTTTTGGTTCTAGATTCCCAGAAGAAACAACGGAAGAAAGAGTGAGAGCTGAGAGAAAAACCAATAAATATAATATAAACCAAACGTTGCAACAGTTAATTTATTGGGAAATGGAAACGACGATTCAGATTTAAAATTCATATTATTTTAATTTTCCTCGAAAAAATATAAAATCTGAATAAAAATCTTCTTCCCAATTCTTTGACCGATCAATGTCCTAAGTTCTTAGGGGGATAATAGGGAAAAAACCGTCCGAGAAAAAGAGAGCAAATTAATAAATTATGCAGGTTAAATTCTTAAATAAATTGTCTGTTGGGTCCATGAGTTACAATTTCCCTTAAAAATATCATATTTGATATATCCTAAATCAATCGTTCACTGTTCCCAACACTTTTTTTTAATAAGTCTTTTATTGAATACCCACTAAAATGGGACAAGCTTCAAACTTTACATGGGAAAACATAGAAACTAAAGGAACATATCCGTAGAAGTGTACTTTCAATGACACATGATATCCTTTGGTTTAAATCAATATAATTGAATTCTATATGAAAATGATTTTTACAATTTTAACGAAATTATACCAAATCTTTTACAATCATGTATTTTCTTTTCTGATTTCAATTTTTTTTATTTAAAGTTTTCGCACATCGTTGAAAGATGAAAACTGATTATAAAAAA